GAGGAAACGGACCCAGTCTAGGTCTCATTACGAGGCTCAAACATTTGTTCAAACAGTCTTGATATATTATACATGATTTTAGCTACATAACATTTTTGTTAAATAAGATGACGGTTTGATGAAGTTGATTTTTTTTGTAGTTTTTTTTTTGTTTGACGAGAAAGACATGCAGGCTTTGTCATACCACTTACACTAAAATACGTGCAGCATGTGAAATTCACACCGTAGGCAATGTGTCCTCCCCGCACAGATCATCAGCTGTCTCTCTCGCTAAACATCACTAGTCATCAGCACAGGAAATGATGTCACAATTTAGGAAGCACGATTTGTCAGGGTCACCAGGTCCCTCGCGTCGTCAGTAATACCTTCTGAAGCAGAGTCGGGTTGCTTTGATCGCTCCCAGACGTGTCGTTGGCACACATGTCCTACAGCACATATGGCAGACGGCTGCCGTCCATCAATCAGCTGGGGGGCAGCTTGGTGTCGGGTGGAAACGAGAGGGTGTGGAGGGAGGCGGGAAAAATGCAGATACTTGTTGGAATAATAATCCCAAAAAATCCTCACGGCGGCGGCTTTGTTCTGCCGCCAGGAGACCTTGGCATGTTGGCCTGTGACCGTTGCTATGGTGGATCTCCATCTGGAGAATTCAGCCATCCACCATAAAGCAGAAAGGACTGCTCCACTGCCGGATACAGCCCAGTCTCTGAACTGAAGAAACTTACAAGGCAAAAGTTTCAATACCATTTTACAGGTTACGCAGTATAATGTTTTATTACAAATTCAGATCGATGTTCAGTCATGGCACAAGCCAAAAGCCCTTCAGATTACTATTCAGCCCGTTTACCATCGCACCACCTACTGGCAGACAGCAGGCATGGCATGCCTTGGCTCCCGAGCGCTGTTCTATTTGGGATTCGTCAGGGGGAGGATCTGGGCATCCAAGACGCATGCAGAGCTGGTCCTTCTTTGCACGTTACTGCCAAAATCCCAGCCGTAGCCCAGGCAAACATACTTGTAATCCACAGGTGATTTAACAAACAACGTTAAAACTGGAATTATGTCCTGCTACCCGCGCCAAGTCGACACTGTTTCTGACACGTCACATTAACTACCATCAACAATTCAACAAAGACAGGAAATAATAAATAAAAAAATTAAGAACAAATTACCCCCCCGTGCGGGTGACCGCAGTCATCATCTTCAGGTTAAATTATCTGGGGCGATTTGAATTCAGACATCCACTTCTAATCGTGTTACGGCAGTAATATAGAAGTACTTACGCTGCAGTTTTACAAAAAATTGTAGATAATTCAGCCCCAGACTTGGCCACAAGCGGCTCACCGCTGTATTAATAAGTCAAAGTGAGCCTCCAATGTCATGCCATCACATCGACCAGGGAATCACCCTGTGCCAGAAGCTAAAGCAAAACCTTAATTAAAAGTAATCGTGATAGAAATCCTCAGAATGTCCCCTCCTGCTGTCTACACCACCTCCACGAGGGAGAACGGCGTGTACTGGGATACGAAAAACATCGCTGTTATCCAGAGCAACATACAGCAGAGAAAGCAGGGTCACCCAGGGGTCAACCAGGGGTCAAACAGGGGTCACCCAGGCCCCAGAGTAACCGAAGGGCCCAACAGCGAAGTCACTCTGCCAACGATGGGATTGGAACCAGCGACCTTCCGATCATGGGCATAGTGTCCTGACCAGCTCATCTCTGCATGTTGGGCTGGAGGCACACCAGAACCTCAAGAAATGCAGGCCTTAATCTGCCAGGGTTACTGTGGCGGGGCCCGGGCCCAGCTCGACTCATTCGCACCGTCAGCCGATGAATTTTTCCTTTAAATAAACAGTGGAGCCCATAAGGAAGTAGGAGATTAGCGGCCCCATTAGCTGAAGCACCGTAATGATGTAAATGCACTGGGAGAGGCAGCCACAGAGCAGCCATCTTTAATGAGCCCCGGCGTGCCCGGCCTCTCGGCTGAACACTAATCACACGCATGCTGGCTTGCAGGTTCAGGGCTTTACAGAAGACCTGTGGAGGTTTTACTGTGTTTGTGGGAGTGAATTTCAGTAAAGAAAGCCTCCGTATTTAAGAACTCCCGGAAAACAATCACAGCAGGTACATCTCGACCAAACGGATGCCTCGTTATCGCGTTATTGCCAACTTGGTCTAGGGGGAATGAAAAAATGTCAGGTGTTAAAGCGAGTCAACGGGGACGCTTTGTGAAGGTGGAGCTGCACACAGACACGCACTGGGGTTCGGGCGTCCTCGGAAAACATGAAATGGGAGTGCCAAGGTGGGGGGCTTGAGATCCTATCTGTCACATAGAAACACTCCTTCAGCTCGCGAGTCCAACTGAAGTAAAAATTCCGACATGGGGGTCCAGGACAGCGGAGGTCGGCTGTTGATTTGTGGACCACAGAGTGAGAGACTGAGGCCTGGAATGTTGGGATTCAGGGAAGCGGTACTTCACCATTCTAGGTGACAGTTTTGTCAAGGTACCTTCCAGGGGGATAATTGGATTAGAATGCGACGTGAAACATGCCTGCTGAATTGTGCATGAGTTAAGAAAGGGGATCGAGGAGAATTACATGGGAAATGTAGCCCTAGATAAAAGGATCTCTCTAAAACATGTACTCCACTTTTTCACAGCATTTTTGTTATTTACACCCCCTGACCCACAACGTCAGGGGGAGTAAATATACGACGTTACCATTCCTACACGTTTTGTGAATGGTCAGGCTGTTGCAGGCCATCGGCTATGATGGCATTACAGCCATGTTAGGATGTCAGACTAACCTGCCCCTCAGACGCAGAGACTCCTCCTGCCCCTCAGACGCAGAGACTCCTCCTGCCCCTCAGGCGCAGAGACTCCTCCTGACATACTCAAAAGGCCTGCTGCGTGATCAAGACCTTGAGCGCAATTAAAGAGGAATTCCCCCTAAAAGCACGGGTGTCTTTTTGTTCATTATGAAACGATTTCCCAGGCATCTATAGCTAATTGTGTTACACGCACCTGGAACAGAGAGCTGGCCTGTGTTTTTATTAAAAAAAGGACCCTTTGACATTTACGCAACAATCTATGGAGAGCTGCGTCTGTGTGTGTGGTTTTATAATCTAATCTTCAGCCCCCGCTGCACGTACCCCTGAATGCGATGCTCCTATATTGAAATTTCTTCATCAGAGGAGTCCGTTCCTGCAATGCGCCCCCCCCCTGCCCGCAGTCCTCAGTCTCCCATAATTTCTAGTGACCTAAATCAGGTGTTTTTCAACCTGGGGTCCTGGGAGACAGTAGAGAAGTTTGCGGAGGCACAGGAATTATCATCATTTTCAAACAGCCCCCCCGCCCCCACCAGCCTTAGCTGCTAATGTGATCATGTATTCATGGTAGGGGGTCACCAGCTTGGTCTATTTCCATCTCAGGGTCACAAATTCAGGAAAGGGAGGAGGAAACCCCTGGTCTACATTATTTATCACAGGTTTGCTACCACTGTAACATGAGCGAAAAGTTCTAAATGAATCCCTTCAGAGAACCCCCCAGAACAGAACGCAAGTGATGTGCCTTAGAGATGTCGAATGCCGACTGAGTTCGGTCTCAATTCCCAGTTCCCGTTGTCCTTTTTAACGCACAGTCAGCGAATAGCGGGCACCTCCCCACACGCCGGCGACCCTCCTGGCCGGCCCGCGGGTCTCCTTCAGATAACCGCACCTCCATTAACTCGACTCTGGAGGTGATTGAAGTTGCTTGCTTCCTCTCTGAAGATATTTGCAGGTCTGGCTCCAGCACTGCGGGATTCCCCAAAACCTCAGAGGCCTCGTTCCCTCTGCCAATTATGCGACTCCTGAAGCCTCTGAATGCAGATGATCTGTTTGATCCCAGGAAGTACATCAGCCAGGAATACAGTCATCAGACAGCCAAATGATGCTATCGAATGAAAAGGAAAGGGCACCGACTGACTGGAGTTTGCAAACATGCAGGTTAAGCAGCTGAATTGTGTCTGTTAAGATTTTACATATGATCATGTAGGATACCAGCCACGGAAATATTACATCAGACACAAGGAAAGGCTTTGTACGAGCAGGATGGCAGCTGAGGGGTTAGGGTTAGGGTTAGGGTTAGGGTTAGGGTTAGGACTGTGGCCAGACCAGCGTGCATTAACTTCATACTGGTTTCCTTCCCCTGGCCCAAACATGTGGTTAGCTGGTGTCCCATAACCTGCCGTCAGTCAATGTGTGAGTGTGTGGCTTTCCGTCCAGGCTGTGCCCAGCTGTGCCCTGCTCTCCCTGGCATAGGTCCTCCACAGCCCTGCACAATCAAAGGTGCATGGAGAAGACTCAGCTCTCTACCCCAACAGGCGGATGGGAGTTTGCCCTCTAATCAGTGCTATGAAATCAGCTTTGGTCAGTCACAAAGGTATACAACATCTACTCTGATACATACAATCTGCCAGCAGAAAACCTATGAAGGAAACCAGGGGTCTCACAGGATGGGAAATGGCATGCAACACATGCACTGCATTAATCCTGGGTTAATATTCCCAAGCCTGCGCCGGAGAGATGACAAACCAGAGAGACCCACCATGCATCTTTGCATCTAACGTACCTTACAGTGCATAAAAGGCACCAGACACACATAACTAAAAATCACACTTCAGTTGTGAGGTCCTACCAGCAGTCCCTGCTCATCGATCAGGCTCCAGGGGGGTGGGGTTAGGGCAGGATCGATGGCCAGCCACCACCCGCCATGTCCCGTTGGAATACTGAGCGGCCTTCCCTTCCCAGTTCCTCACATGGAGAATCCATACTGAGCGGCCTTCCCTTCCCATTCCCTCACAGCGAGAATCCATACTGAGCGGCCTTCCCTTCCCACTCCCTCACAGCGAGAATCCATACTGAGCGGCCTTCCCTTCCCACTCCCTCACAGCGAGAATCCATACTGAGCGGCCTTCCCTTCCCACTCCCTCACATGGAGAATCCAGGCTTGGCTCTTGCTCACCTCCACTGGGAACCTCCTGCTGTTGATGCTGTGTTCTGATCCAGAGGAACCGTTCTGACCCCAGTGGAACTCGACCTTCTCCACTTTGAAGCGCCCAGGGAGTCCGGCCCCCTTGACGAAGTAGTCGTCCTTCAGGAGGATGGCAACTGGGAGACAGGGCAGAGAAGCAGGTGGTCATACTCAAAAGCCCACGCCTATTTCTGTGTTGGAAAAGAGAGCACGTTGGCACGTGGGCACCTCAGGGACACCTCCACACATGCCTATTACCGAATCCGCACACGCACAAGCAATCACCACAGAGACAACGAGAGATTAAAGCCTTTCATCAAGACATGCTGAATGCAGACAGTGAGCATTTAGATTTCACCTCCTCAGAGCCTGGCCCACGTTTGCTTACGTTCTTCTGGGAGGTCAGTGGAATATTACATGTGCCCCAGCTATAGTGGTTCCCAGTGCCCTCGAAGACAAGCCCTCAAATGAAGTGCTAATTTGGCAAGCGAGAATGATCTCCATCACCATATTAAATGGCTTTTTAAAGCCTTTTGCTGTTTCACAGAACTCCCAAAATAAGGGAGGGATTAACTGATACTTTTATTGCACGTGGATTCACAAACTGCTTTTCGCAAAGACCGGCCCTTAATTAACCAGTACGACCTTAAATATGGGCTCCCTTTCTCACATGTATTTCTCATTCTGATTGAATTCCTGAATCCTTTATATTCTCTTTCCACTTGAGATTTCTGCCCCATTTAAAACAGCCAGTCAGCTAAATGAGCGGCTCAGTTCCTCAGCACTCTGACGAGCCCTATGCATCGGGAATGCACACGACAAAACCGCTTGTCACCAAACAATATTGGACCCTTTAAAGTCGACTTGACCCCAGACTTTCCAGCGATGACGCCAAGGTCCCATTAGTGTGGACAGCATCACGTTCCCCTGCCAGAAGTCTGGAGTCCGAGCTCGGAGCACGTGCCGTTTTCCCGAGTTTTTCACGCCTGAGGTTCTCGAGGCAAACTTGAGACAGGAGTGTCAACATCAGGAAGAGCAGAGGCAAGAACGAGCAGGGGCTATTTCTAGGGGGGGGGGAGATGCTCTATATTTGTAACATCTGCCACCATCTCTCTGCTTGGCAACCCGTCCGGCAGGGCTGGAAGAACAAACATGAACAGCATGAACAAGAGGATGAGCAGAGCCGACACTGCCAAACACCCTGGGGGCCGGGGAGGGGGGGCTGTGGGTAGGGGGGGGTATCGGCTGGATGTCTGCACACACTTCACCCGCAGCAGCTAAGCGGCTCCAATCTCAGCGTACAACGCTAAGAGCATCCCGTCAACCTGAGGGGGGAGGGGGGTTTAATCACTCGTTTTATCTCTTGTTGATTTTCAGCCACAATCCGGTGTAAGTCCGAGTCAGACCCCGGGAGTTTCATTAGCGATTCCAGCCTGTGCTTGCGAGCATTAACAGGCGAGCAGGAATTAGACACTAAGCCAAAAAGACCTTGGACAGCACTGCCTGAAAAACAGCAGCCCGTATAGAAATAAATGCCTGATGAATGCAAATACTCCTCAAGGCCCCCATCCTCATGAATTTGCTAAAGGGTTTATTTGATATCAGCCTGGGAGAGAAAAGACGAAAAGCGTGGCCCTCGACCCCCCCAACTAGCAGCAATGAGAAATATCAGTAATGACTATCCCGCTTGCAGCTGATGGAGTTGAGGCCGGCCCACACTTAGGATCTGTGAGAATAGAATTTCCAACCTGATTTAAGGCATAATGTATTCAAATGCGGCCACCTGCCTGGTCGCGTCCCTCCACTAGCGTGAGCAGAGGGTGTCGTTCAGGTGCCGCAGCGCAGATACAGCTGCACTGTCACTTACAGGCAGCACTGGGGCGGAGGCATAAATAATGCATTAATGCAAGCAAGAGGTCAGTCTTGTTTTGCATGTATAATTTAGGGGGTAAAAAAGTGAGAGGTCATATTATATACTATACAGTTCACATAGTCTTTGTAGTGATTTTTAATGTTTTCAGGAGGAATTAGTGTAAAGGGAACAAGGCAGCACATTTCTGCTGATCCTCCGCGGCCGCAGACACAGGCGGCGAGTGCAAAGCTGCCTCCATCTGCACAGGCTTCAACTTTTCTCATCTGCAGCAGCCTGAATGCTGTAGCTCGCCGTTTGAGTGATGCAAGGGGCAGAAATACACAGGGCCGGGATCAGAGGTCCCCACCGCTGGGGAGGAGATAGATGGCCCTCTGTGACACGGAGGCTGCCTGCCACTGGTCATGTGGGTGACCCCCCAGGGAGAGACAGGAGTGCGTGCGACACTGGGGAGCTGCTCCGCCAGCTAACGCTAATCCTCTTGATGGGCTTGTGATTAACAAGCACCTGCATGCTTTGTTGTTTCCCGCTAAAAAGTAGCCCTTCATGAACAGCTGTCTATGACCCATCAGTCGAGTTGAACCCGCCCAGAGAGAGAGATGAAGACTTATGCAAGAAAACACTTGGCTGTTTCTGCTGGCTTCAATGGGGGCACTGGACACCTGAGGCCCGCTTCACTGCCGAAACTGAAACCCCATTTAAAAGAATTCTACGCAGACAATCCATCTTGGTGACAGAGTGAAATTGCAAGAAATGCCAAACCTCCCGCCGAAAATCGACCCGAAAGCCGAATGCAAATATCCATGATCTCCGTTCAGTTTGGGTGACAGTTCATCTGGATTTCTGACAGCCATCAGAATCAGCGAGTGCGATGGCCATAAACGCAGATGTTGCCTTGCCAACGTGGGCCCGTATAATCTCTAGACGGAACACCTTGGGAAGATCTGGCCGACGGAATTGAGCCCCACCTGTCTTGCCGGTGTTTTTCATTGAGGTTTTGTTTGAAGACTCTAAGGTAAGCTCTTGGTACTCCTTGGACACCTTTGCATCCTGGTCGATGATGTCGATGGGCGACTGGTTCTTCTCCCGGCATTCTGGGTTGGCTGCGGCCCAACTGTCTGGCCCATATGTACCTGCAAAGCAAGAACAAAACAAACATAACATTAGCACACTAATGCACATGAAGTATAGTATTGTTCATTGGCCAGTTGTTTTCATGTGCGCCTTCGGGGTCTTAAAAGGCAGCTCAAGGTATCAGACGTAAAGCCTCTGTGTTCACCGAAGTCCTCATTAAACACGGAATTCCTGCTTTTCTTCTCCTTTGCCAGAGAAAAGGAACACACTCACCCCATTAAGAAAATATAACTCCCAGCTGTAATACAATCGCTGCTTTGTTTTGCTTAAATACCTCTTTCATAAATTACCAGCGGCTGAACCACCAATGAAATTATTACTCCTTTGCAGAAACTCTACCCATTGGGCCTAAAACATAATCCGCTGGATGGTGTTTCTGCATGGAGGCCCACGTCAGAGAAGAGCGTTAAACTAAGGCATCCCAGGACCATCGATGGAGGCATGGAGGTGTGGGTCCGGTAGCACCAGCTTACGCCTGGGGAGACGGACCCCCCCAGCGAGGAAGCGGGCAGAAAGGTCACAGCTGCTCCCATGGCCGCTTTTTCCAGACGGCTTCTACAAAGATCCGGGGTCCATATGGCAAACACTCCAGGACTGGACACCCTTCAGAAGGATCACTTCCAACTTAACAGTGCCGACTGGAGCACGGCGTCCTCAACAAACCCCAGGCGGCTGATTCGGGGCCGAAAACGATTGGCAGCCAGTCAAAAGGATGATTGGCAACCATCAAACGGTACCAAAGAATATTATTGGCAACCGGTCAAATGGTTCAGAAGCATCCTGTTAAAAGACCTGCTGTCACTACCCCCTTGCCCCCCAGGACGGTAGCAGCGGCACGTCTTTAACAGGACACTTCTGTACCATTCCGGAAGGTTCTACCAACTGCCTAATGCTTTTTCTGACCTGGAAAACTCAAGCTCAGGCGATGCGACTGAGCTCATTTAGCATCGTTGGGGTACAGCTGACGTCTTGGCAGTGACAGAACAATGGGAACACCAGTTTCACACTTTTTCATGCGATGCGCACCGGTGACATTTTGATTCAAAGCACCTGACAACGACTTAACAAGAACAAACTAGCCTAAAAATAGCACACGCACAACAGTGAACTTCGCAGATCTGTTTGCTTACAAACAGTCTCAATCGGGTCAACGTGAGTTTAAAGATGCTTTGGGGGCCTGTGCGGGAGCCAGGGGGCCAGACCGGGTCGGCCCACGCCAGCTGTACCATGCAGCCATTGAAATGAAAATTTAATTTCTTTTGTTTGATAACGTCGACCTTCTGAATGAAACAGCCACCGCCAGCCAGATGGACTTGGTTCTTCATTTTGCCAGCAGACACCAGAAAACCTGGTGAATGAACGTTTTAGAGCAAATTCTTTTGCAAGAGACACCTCGACAGGTGCAGCACTCCAGCTCAAACTCTCACTCCAACCCCAGGAAAAGCTGCACGTTCCGGGTGGTGAGGGGGAAGACAGTTCAGCTGGACTTCAATACATACAGCTCTGGCTAAAGTGCCCCCTTAATTGAATGCAATATTCAATTACTGTTTTAAAATGAATTTGTCTCCAATTTCACATGCCCTGGGTGCATCTGGGCTGCTCAGTGATGTCTATTTCATTAAATTAGGAAGCATCTCCTTTTCCAGCTCCTGCAGAAGCTTTGAGGAGGGGGGGGCGCTGGACGTATCGATCGGAAGAGTCTGGATTTCATACTGAAGCACACACGACGGGTCGGGACCGCGACACGGCGGCATACCGGTGTGAAGCCATCAGTCACCGCTGTAATGCGGCTAATGTGTCCAGCTCACTGGCCAATCGGGTGTCGGGCCTAAAGCAGGCCGTGTGCATCATGCCGTCGATAAAGTGTGCTGCGACATGGAGTGCTCATTAAGCACAGAGAGGGGGCAAGAGGCACCACGCCAAAGGGCTTCAGAGTAATTGAGACCGGGGCCTGTCTTTGCCGGCCATTCTGCATGTCCCAGAGGTGACCGGGAGTGAGACCAAACAGCCACACTTAGCCGGGGTGGGGGGCAGATGGGGGGGGGTCAGGACAAGAGTACTTTGCCTTCTGACCCCCACCGTCACCTAGATCAATAAGTCGCAATTTATCTTGCCAACAACCGAAGAACAACCAGTAAAATCCGCACTTGGTACCGGCTCCCTCCCTATAAAAAGCGTTCCCACAATGGCTGCCAGTCTCTGCGGAGGCATGTTTTGGCTTTCCAGAAGTGTTTACAAGACCCCCGATTCTCCATAACCCTTCTGCTGGGTATGCGCTTAATGGAATGGCCCCCAGGAAGAGCCCATTTTCATTGACGTCACTGTTATTAGTTTTCTGATGGATTGCTTCACATACACATATTTCCAAGAGCGCCCGTGTATCCCAAACAGAGGCACACAGAGAGGGCAGCCAGAGGGATAGATGCCGCAATGCACTGACACGTAATTGGCCACGGTTTGGCCCTGATATTGGGTACAGGAAAGCTGCCCCATCATACATGAGAAATGCATTCTGGGGTCAGAGCTTTAAGTTACAAAGCGGTACAAAGGACATATCTCATCATACCCCAAGCTACTAGTCCGGGTTATAAGAAGCAGAGAGGGACTTCAGCGATGCGACGGTGGGGCGTACAGAGCCGTCATAAGCTGGGGCATATCGAGAAGCGTGCTGCTCTTAGGTGATAATGAGCCACACCGCGGAAACAGTTAGAACAGCTTTTATTGGCCTGTGACCTTAATGAAAGATGGTAGAAACAAGACAAATGGATTTTATTTGTTTACTCTCAAAAAAGGCTTCCTGCTCTGCGGCTTTCATAAAAACTGAAAAACATCTCAGGACAGTGGCTGAAAACTGCTGGGCTTCCGTTCTGACGTTCTGACCACGGTGGAAAAACTCACTTTAGTGTTACCTGGAATTCAATTAACCTTAAAACCGGCGTACCATCATTTTCCAGAAAGTGTCTGTATTTTCAGGCAGCACACAGGCTACTAAAAATAAAAGCTCAGTATTTTTTTTATCCCAGTGATTTCTTATCTTTCCAGTCAGTTAGGGATTGTTCCCTTTGACAGGCCCTGTGTTGTGACCTTGCTCAATCAAACTCAATCCAAACACCACAGTTAAATCTGAAACATAAACACGCCATTATGCTCAGCATGTTTATAGTGCACAATTATATATTTGCCTGCAGTCGAGATCCCTAATAAAAATCTGTCGGAGTGTTTACTAGATAATAAATGTCTTAATAGCATAGCAATGCAATGTAAAGTGAAAAAGACATACTTTTTACAAAGGTGTATTTTATAAAAATGTCCTCGGATCCTCATTTAACATACTTTTTGGCTCTTTTCTTAGAGTGACTATTATTCCTTTGGATTCCTTTGGAATGGAGGAAATCAATGTTTTGAAAGGTCTGTCAGTATTTTGGATATCTTAGAGAAGTGTGGTGAAGCACTATTGAGTCAGTCATGGTATTACGTTTAATCTCACACTACAAGTAAGGCCAAGGGAGCCTCTGCATGAGGCACCACAGGCGCCTCTGCTTGGAGGATCCCAATTTCTTTTTAAAATCACTATCAATTGCGGCTTGTGACTCACCATCCGTTCTCTGAAAGCAGCCTTTAAAAGAACGAGCACAAGAGGCATAAAAGGCTGGAGGGGCCTCTCGCATTTTTATTTTAGTAGCCATTAAAAAAACAACAGCTTTGCAGCCAAATATCCCCACACTGGCCGCATAACTTTGGCAATTATAAATGAAGCAGCAGGTGCAATTAAAATATATTTGCAAATACAGTGTTCAGGACAATCACTATGAATTATGGATACATGGTGTTAATGAGAACTACAGCTACTGACACTGAAACTGAAATACTGACATGCTTATATTCATCCATCTTCCAACCACTTATCCAGTACTGGGCTGCAGAGATGTCGACTCAGACGGTTTAAGGCGTCCAAAGCACCGCCGGCCGACACCGAAACAGCCGTCACCCAGACTGTTTAAGGCGTCCACAGCACCGCCGGCCGACACCGAAACAGCCGTCACCCAGACTGTTTAAGGCGTCCACAGCACCGCCGGCCGACACCGAAACAGCCGTCACCCAGACTGTTTAAGGCGTCCACAGCACAGTCGGACAGCTGGTAAACGTTGATTACCTGTACAACTCAGACGCAGACTGCCGTGAGTAGGATAATACCTGGCTCCAGCCCCACTGGGCAGCTGGAGAGAACATGCCAGGTGGCCAAGTTCACGCAAACAGGCCGGGGTCGCTTGGACGAAGCAACCAGCAGGGCGTGGGATTAAAATGGACCCCGGCCTGTTTGTGGAAGGCAGCACTGCTGAATTACACCCTGAAGATGAATAAAGGAGGGAGACAACCGATTCACCTGCCAAACAGAGCTGGCATCAAGTGGGGGCCTTACATCGCCAGGCCATTATCCATCCATCCATCCATCCAAGAATGTTTACCCACAACAGGGTTGTGGCGGTACTGGAGCACCTCCCAGAAAGCACAGGGTATGGGGCAGGTATACATGCATGTGTGTATGTGTACACACACGTGTATATATGCACACATACATACACACACACACACACACACACACACACACACGTGTATACATACACACATACACACACACACACACACACACACACGTGTATACATACACACACACACACACACACGTGTATACATACACACATACACACACACACACACACACACACACGTGTATACATACACACATACACACACACACACACACACACACACGTGTATACATACACACATACACACACACATACCATACTTCTGGCATTTTTACTTTTTTGATTGCATTCACAGATCTTTCTGGGGAGCTGAAAAATGGTCCCCATGTCGAAATACACACACACTCACACACACACACACACACACACAAACATATGCATGCGAGCATGGTCACACACATGTACAGAAACACACGCACGCACACACACACGCGCTAAGTAACAGAAAT